GGATCTAAATGCATAATGTCATTGCATCTCTCATGATATGCTTAGCTACATGAACTTGTATTGTTTTCTCATGTTTGGGACCAATATATAGTTGAAAAGATTATAATTTCTTTTTCTTTAATAGCGTCTAGAAGTAGATGTATGTTTGGCTAGATTTAATCATGATAATTATCTTTTGTGTTCTTTTTTATTGTGGTTTTGGCTCATGGAAATTGATCAACTTCTTGTCTATTGGTCGAATTATACATGTGATTTACCCGATTCTTTTTTTTTTTAATGATGGGTTGGTTGTTTTAACTTTTTAAAGCATAGTTCAAGTCTCCTATGAACTTTCGGTTCTACCAGTGAATTGTCATAAATCCAACATTTTGTCCAACTTGTCGAAATATAAGCTTTTATCGTATTAAAAATTACCTCTTATGTACTTTGTTTAGGTAGTATATAGCGATATACAACAAGATCTTAAAATTGTGCTTTTAAATATAGTCAACTATGCCAGCGTGATACCTATTACTTTTAAGAAATATAGAAAATGGAAAAAAATCTGGAGGATACAATAGTATTTCTTATAATATTAATATTACAAATATTCTCGGACTAAATATATTGACACCATAAGTTTTTATAAGAGCGCAACATTTAAATTAGATGCCTCTTTATTTATTGTTACATTTAATTCAACTTTTTGATTACATTATTACAAATAATCTTACAATAATTAAATATCCTCTCCTGATGACGATTTTCGTCCAAAATTTCCATTAATCCCAGAGTAACAACGGTGCAAGTTTTAGGTTGGCCTACAAAAGGGTATGGATTTTTTGGTTAGTTTGATCCCATGTTACTTTTATCAAAATCTAATTTTTTTCCGAACCAAATATGAGTGGCATTCCCTATTTTTTGCGCGGTTTTACATGAGAATACTGATGTGACATGGAGGGCATGAATGACAAGGAGTCGTCGAAGATGGTGATGCCTCGTGACCCTGTGAATATGGTGGTCGAACTCACTATGCCGATTTCATGTGAACAAGGGATGAGGTTTGCCATCAGAGCGAGGGGGGAAGACGGTGCATCTGTTTTTCAATCTATCATTGAGCGAAATGACTTATACATGAATGATCCTGTGTTTTGTTTCACTAATTAATGGGCATATCCTTGCATTTTGTTAGCTGCAAATTCTGTATAGATGATCAAGGTTTTCTGGCTTATATATTTCAGCCTTGTGTTATTGAAGAAAAGACCATTGAACTCTTTTGCAGAGTCCCATCTCCTATTTAAATATTATTTCCTTCTACAAAAAGTCTTCTTTCCTTGATCTCTTCTTTTATCCATTTTGGTTGTCAAACAAATAGTCTATTTTCTTTCCTAATAGAATTGTTTTATTTAACAAATTTAGGTTGAACCCGAATAGTTGTAACTGTCTGAAGAAGTTGAGAACAAACAATATAGAAAGGGACTCGAGAATATATTCTACTTCAGATCAATGAAGCTGAAGAACACTTTTATACTTCAAAGAAAGAGAGGAAATCAATGCAATATAGCTGGTATCAGTGGTATATACATCATTTCCACGAAATTCAAGACAAAAACCTCCTTAGATCTCGTCTATTGTGTGCGTTCTCTGTATACAAGATTGGAAAGACTACTGACTGATAAGTGTGTTTTTGCACACTTATGTAGGTCACAAACATGACTTAATAATTAGCAAAATGATTGAATTGTGACTTAATCTCATACACTTGTGAATTATAGGGAACAACGATGAACATGGTAAAATTCAGGAGAAAAGATGCAAAAAATGACTAAAGTGACGTAAAGTGAAATTTCAGGGACCAAAAGTGAAAATATCCAAAAGTTGATCCGATAAACAAATCGAGAAATCGATTAGACCAATTACCAATTGACAATATCGTGGGGTGATGAAATGAAAAGAATGAAGAGAAGATGCCAAGAGGTAAAGGATGCAAGTGGGGAGACCAAAACGCACATCTACCATAGTTGATAGTACTATGCGACCACATAGTACTATCCTCTATGCGGTCGCATAGTAGCATATTGAAAACAAAGAGGCTCCAAAAATTTACTCTATGTGACCGCATAGAGTTGCTCTATGCGGTCGCATAGAGCAGTTCTTAAGGGAAAATACAGTTTCCTTTTTCTTCCGAAACTCTTATTTCTTTTTAGCATGTTAGGCTAGATTTATCACTACTAGGAGATCGATGAACCTTGTAATACTACGTTTAATTGTTGTTTTGGATTTTTGACGTATTTGAACACTAGCTCCGAAATTGATTGATTTATTTGTTTTTATTTTCATATAATTATTGTGCACGTAATTATATGATTGTGGTGACCTGTTTTATGCATTCGAAAGAAGGAGAATAGGTTCGACATAGTATAAATCATCATAGGGTCCGATAGGGAATAGAAATATACCTCTATGCCTTGTATGAATCATTGGATATTCGTGAATTTATAATGTATGTCGGTATATTAGTATTCGTCATAGAAATATAGTCGAATCATATATTGGGATAGGTTTGGCATTGTTGGAGAGAGATCGCTAAATTAAAGTAGGAATATCGATTCATCTTTTGTGGAATTGTGTATCAAATTTGCATAATTGACAATTGAACGGGTATTGCTTGGGGATTCTTGATCCTAGTGCATTAGAACATCCATTAATTCTCTAAAATTCTAGTTAAATTGCATCCAAGTTATTTTGCACTTAGTATAATTCTTCATTCATAATTGCATCGACGATTACATTTTGTTAGTTAAAGTACAAAACCTCAATTTGGTTGTCTTGTTTCGGTTAAGGTCATATTAGATTAATTCGAACTAATTCAATCCTCGTGGGATAGATACTTGGACTTATAGTCTATTTTTACTACTTGTTAACGAACCGTACACTTGCAGTGAATTTAAAATCGGAATAAATAATTTCTCGAACAAGTTTTTGACGTCGTTGCCGGGGATTGAAATTTGGTTCTAATTTTATCTTTTGTGACACTAATTCGAACTTATCTAGAATAAATAGTTAGCTTACTAGGTTTAGTTTGTTATTACTTCAATTTAATTTTGTGTTGATTTTGCAATCTTAGGGCTTGTATGAAGGAGCACCTGATCAAGATTTAGTTCCCATAGATTCAGAGATCGAACGCACATTCTATCATAAGCAAAGAGAAGCAAGAGTGGCACAACAAATGGCTAACGAGCAAAATCGATCGGTAATTCCACTCAAAGAAGGCATGGCAGTTGAAGATGATGGGAATACAGTACTCGAGGACTTCATGGCTCCGTTGGTGGTCCAAAGTCAATCTAGCATTGTATATCCTCCATTTGGGCAACCAAATTTCTAGCTGAAAACAAATGTGATTCAACTATTTCAGAATGGGCATCAATACCACGGGACGGCTAGTGAAAATCCGCATACACACATATCCCGATTTCTGGATATGTGCCAACACTTCAGGTACCAGGGTATCTCAGACGATGCTATAAGACTGCGGTTGTTTCCACACACCTTACGGGATAAAGCACTTAAATGGCTAGATTCACTTCCCGTCGTAAGTATCACCACTTGGAACGAGTTAGCTCACAAATTCTGCACCAAGTTCTTCTCGCCAACAAAGGTAGCCAAAATGCGGCATGATATCTTTATTTTCAACCAAGGTGAGTCCGAATCATTTGAAGAGGCATGGAATCGTTTCAAGAATATGTTGAGGAAGTGCCTGCAACATGGCTTTGACAAGAAGACACAGATCCGATTTTTCTATACTGGACTACTTCCATCCTTCAAGAGCATGGTGGATTCCTCATCTGAAGGGTCTATCTCCACGAGAACAATTGATGGAGCATGGGAGCTATTTGAGAGAATGGCAACAACTTCAGCCATGTGGTCTACAGATCGAGTGGTTCAGAAGAGATCGCCAGGGGTTTATGAAGTAGATACTTATTTCGCACTGTCTGCAAAGATAGACTCTTTGTTCCATAAGGTTGAGAGCATTTCACAAACCGCCACTGCTAAACAAGTCAAGAAGCCAAGTTGTGAAGAATGTGGAGCAGACCACAATACTGTTAATTTTGCAATTCTAGCACAGGGGGTCCAACATGCAGATTATGTGCAATAGGGTCAACGCCAACAGAACAACCCACATTCGGAAACCTTCAATCAAGGCTGGAGAAAACACCCAAACTTCTCATGGAGCAATCAAAATCAAAACAGACCAAAAGGTCAATATCAGCAGCAGGATAAAAAGCCATCATTGGAAGAGATGTTTGAAAAGTACATGGTAACAACCAATCAGTATATGGAAGTCAACAACCAGATTATGCGAAAGACAGATGCAACTCTTTAAGATCAG